TTCCCTGGTTCCTGCAGACCCCCCCCCCCACCCCCCGACCCCCTCGTGCCGTCCACATCTGTATACTCAGGTATGGACATTGATTAACATGTATGGAGTAAGAATGCATTGACTGCAATTAAGGTCCCAGGCCCTCCATCCTCAAAAATCCCCCATTAGCTGAATTGCGGGGTTCTTCTCCCCACAGTGTCATGTCATTTTTTGGTCACCAATACACAGAAAGGATGTCCTTGAGCTGGAAAGAGTCCAGCGGAGGGCAACCAAACTAATTAAGGGGATGGAGGACCAAAGCTATGAGACAAGGCTACTAAATTTAAACTTGTTCACGCTGGAAGTGAGGAGATTAAGGGGGGATAGGATTTGGATGTTCAATGGTGATAGCAACATCAGCAATAAACTTTTTACTGTAAACTCCATAACAAAGGACTAGAGGCTACCACTTAAAACTGGTGGAGAAAAGATTTCAGCACAAGGGGCACAGGTACTCTTAAGAACAAGATCACACAGGGACTCATACACACATATACACATATACACATGCAGAATCACATACATACACGCAATGGGTTGAACTTGATGGACCTGTAACTAATTTATTTTTTTAAACACAACCCCGTTATCACTTCACAGATCCATTCACATGAATCTCAGAATGGAATCCCATGTGCCACCACAGGGCAGAAGGACTCATTGACCTCAATGGAGCACAAATGTGGTGGCATCCAGTGCCATCACTAGAATAAGGCCTCTTACTAGGTTGCATCACCCGCTACCCCCTTTCAGGCCTGAGAGCATCCCGAGTTGCAAAGAGGTCTTAGCAACCTGGGACGCTCTGGCTGGCATCCCGGCCAGCTCCTGGCAACCAGTGACGTGAGTGAGCTGGGACACCAGACAGAGCCAGTGGTAATGTGCGTCCCCCCAGCCCCCCTGGTAATGTGCACCACACCCAGTTACCTCCTGCCCCCCGGCCTCAGGTGGTGAAAAGTGTAGGGACACCCCTGTTGGCATCACCCCACTTTGTTGTCCATTGCAAACTTACTGCAGACCCATAATGGAAGGTCTGTACCTTGGTACACACCAGAGGCTGAGAGAATAACCTGCAGGAGCCAGTGCATTGCACCCGCAGTCCACTCATCACCATTGCTATGCTCTGCAGGCCCCAATGCAAAAAAATAACTACCTTTTAAAAAAAAAAAATTCTTATGGCTGCTTTCATTAATTTTTTGCATGAGATGCACTATTCCTTTAAGGCAGCAGGCACACACGAGGGAAGGGTGGTTTTTATTTCACTTTGGGTCGGCTTTAAAAAGCCACAAAATTTAAAAGCAGAACATTACATTATGTGAAGGAGCCACAAATTATATTCCCATCTACCGGGGAGATTTATCAGTTTCGTACGGCGCGGCGGTGCAACACAGGAGCAGAGAGACAGAAATGAGACAGATTTACTATTAGATCCCAGCTTGATTCATAAATCCCCCCCAGCCTGATGATCAGGAGTAGCATTGTGCTAACATAAAACGTGTCCCTGTCCACTTCTTAGGCGCGCACGTGTTTCACGTGCTGGCAACTTTCGGAAGTGGAATGATAAATCTGTCACAGATGTTTGCAAAACTGTAACAGTCAGCTCTGCGGGACGGCGGGCGCAGGAGTCCCAAATGCATGAGAACTGCTGCAGATCCTTTGCGGCAAAGGAGTCCGACTTTCACTAGATAATGGTTTCTGTAACTTAATAAATCATCTTCTAAATGTACCAATACAATGGGATTTTTTACATTTATCAACCACTGCTCCGTATTGCTCTGGGTTGGTGACCATCTTAGGCAAAAAAAAAAAAGGCACCAGTATGAATTAGTAGTTTTTCTCTTGTGGAACAGAATAGACGTTTAACATCCCTGACCCCCCCACCCCTCCAAGCCATCTTCATGCTTATATTTGGTCTTCCTTGGTTTCTTCATCCCACTTCATAAAAATTTCCATTTTCATTACATACCTTATTTCATCGCTAAGTGATGTCATCAGTGGGTCTCTGCTATGTAATGCAGGCAGGTCACACCCGGTGGGCGGGGCCAGCATGCATCACAGCACCCTGCCTCCGTGCTTCCCTCAGTCCTGATGCAAGCAGAAGTCTGGCTCTTGGGAGGAGTTATGCAAACATCAAAAGGGCTTGATGGGCGGATGTGAGTTGGGAGGGTTGGGCATTCCCAGACAAGTTACAGGCTCCTTAGGCTGATGACATCCCATAATAGTATTTGGCAATGGCTATTGGCTGCTCTGACCTTAGCACTGCATCACATGAGGAGGTCACATTCACCTTCATAAAGGCTGCCATAGTTAATGCCCACTGGGCATTAATGCCCAGCTATGACCAAACAGTGTTTGGTCATAGCTATTGGCTGCTCTGACCCTAGCGCTGCATCACAGGAGGAGGTCACATGGGCCTTCATAAATGGCAAGGATAACTTGCCACAAACTTGTGTCAGGGTTAAATTGTAATTCCTGTTAACTTGCTGGACACATTACCTGGCAAGTTGTAGACTTTCAGACCATTTGCAGCACAAGTTCTAGTTGACACTTTTTG